CATCAACAACATCATCATCAACAACAACAACAACTACATCAACAACAATAACAACAAATAGCAACAATACCTTAATAATAAATTAATACATATAGATATTGTTTGAAAGATGTTAATATTGGCATCTTAATTATCGCCAGCGCAGAAAGCTAAATTAAAAATATTATTTATGGTCTTTGTTTGTAGCAACAGCAACAACAACATCGAAAATAAAAATAATTCAGCAACATTAACCATAATAACAACAACAATAATATCCGACCCAACAACAAGACTAACATTAGCTTCATTACATTACCAACAACAAATTTACTATCATCATATATGCCATTGTTAACATCGTTGTCTTCATCATCGTCTTCTTTTTCAACTTCTTTTTCATCACCATCACTATCGTAATATTCTTCATCATCATCTTCTTCACCATAACCATCATCATTGCCATCATCATCATCATCTTCTTCATCATCATCTTCTTCACCATCATCACCACTACCATTACCATCCTCATTAACATCATCATCTTCTTCTTCTTCATCATCTTCACCATCACCATCACCACTACCATCACCATCATCTTCATCATCAACTTCTTCTTCACCGTCTTAACCACTACCATCATCACCATCGTCATCATCATCATCAAGACATGGATAAATATTTCCTAAGAACATAGTGTGATCGCTGAAGCGTTCATGTATACATCTGGACTTTTATTATTATTATTATTTGTATAATTATTATTTATATTATTTTTTAGTAGTAGTAGCAGTAGTAGTAGTAGTAGTAGTAATAGTAGTAGTAGTAGTAGTAACAGTAGTAGCAGTAGTAGTAGTAGTAGTGGTAGTAGCAAGAAAAAAGTTTAATATTGCTGCTCCAGTTCTCAATAATACTAATAACAATATTACAATAACAATAATAATAACAATGAGCACAAATCTTTTTATTTTTCAACAAATTCGTAAAATCAATAAATAAATAATAATCAGCTAAATTAATAGAGAAATAGTCATGATTAAAATGAAATCATAATCATCATAGTTACTAGTTAGCCAATGCTCTTCATTTAAAATAGAATAAGCAGAGCGATAAGATGATAGTTATGGAAAGTCATTCACGCATTGTTCCGATCACCATATATGGCATATGGTGATGATGATATTCACACTGCTAATTAAACTTTGGCGAGAATAAAATAATAATAACATTGATAATAATAATAATAAATATCGCAAAATACCGGAGAATACCTTATCTTTCTCGTGATTGGTCGGTTCTTTAGTCACGTGCTCATTCCATTAGTGACCCTTCAATCTTGGCGACGCCCCTTTCTACGAAACTTATTAACCGCCGATCCTGATGACGATTGTTATTATTTTTATTATTATTATTATTTTATTATTTGAATTATTATTTATTTACTTGTTTATAGAGTTTTTAAAAAAAACTGCGAAAAAAAAGAATAAATTTCTTATAATGGTAGAAGCAAAGCGAAAAATGATTAACATGGCTATGACTAGAACGTTGAAATAAGAGTATGTATGTATGTATGTTTGTTTGCATTAATGTGTGTGTATGTATGTATGTGTATATGTGTGTGTGTGTATGTGTGTGAATGTATGTGTGTATGTTTATATGATTTCCCTTGAGTGTGTGTGGATGGCTTCTAGATGTACATATAATTGTATTTGTTTCGTTGTTTGTTTGAACACTCCTTTGTATGTTCGTTTGTATGTTTGTTTGTAAGTTTTTTTGTATGTACGTTTGTATAATTGTTTGTTTGTATGTTTTTTGACGTTGTTAATGTTACGAGGTTGAGCGTTGTTGTTGTACATTTAATCGTAATTGTTAATCGTACATTTTTGTTGTTGTTGTATAGTTGATGCAATGGGATTGTTGATGTTGATATTGTTGCTGCTATTGTTGATATTGTTGATGTTGTTGTTATTGTCGATGTTGTGA